CCAAAAGTATTGTTTCCCTATATAAACTATAGTAATTAATTTAACCCCCTCCCATGCAGGAACAGGAAGCCACAGGATAACGTATTTTATACTTTTAATAAACCACCTGAACACCCTTTTATCTATGAAGAGTATTATTTCTACCCTATCTGGGAACTGAGAAGATTTTTTTTTTTTTTTAAATTTCAGTCAATTTAACAAACAAACAAAAATTGCCCATCAACCCCTGGGGCTCACCAAGGGCCAATACCTGTATGTGCATACCATCAAAGTTTTATTATTTCTAATGGCAATTAAACAGATGACACTCAATATGTGATTTCCCTCTATAAACTATAGCAAAGTTTACCCACTCCCCAGAAGGAAACATGACATCCCAGGGTCATGAAATTCACTCTTTTGGTAAAGCATCCTAGCACCCTTCCATCTATGAGCGTTCTGTTAACGGTCCACAACTCCTCATCTGTACACGCGAGGACATGGACAAACTAGATTCCCCGGTCTGAAGGTTATACCAGTCCTCCTGATCGTCTACAGAATGTTTAGCAAACGAATATCAAGTTTTATCTATTTCCGAAACATATTTGGACGCGAATTGTATACATTCTGATTTGTCTATAGATGGCTTTTGTATTCCTATACGACTTGATAGAAACAGTTACGGTGGCGAAGTTATGGTATATGTATCTGATGATTTATTTTACAAGCGGCGATATGATTTGGAATTCAAAGGTGGTGAAGTTATCTGGATAGAGCTTATCACGGACAAAAATACTATTTTATTATGTAATAGATACATAATGTGCACGAGTGATATATCCGATACGTCACGAGTGCCAATTATGTATCTGTTTTATCCAATGACCGCCGAGGTTTTTGTCACCCACGTGTCAAGAGGCGGAGCTATACAGCTGATCAGGATCTGTCAAGTAATCACTTTGATATTTTCCCGCCACTTTCTGACCCTTTCAGTCTCAGTTGTTAATGATGGCGGATCAGGCATGGCATGACGTCCCCGGAGTTTATATGACATTTACACAGAGTATCTACAGACTGTTGGAGAGGGTCCATTTTACATGAGACCCCGTGCCGGTGGGAAATTTGGAACACAGCCGATTGGAGTAAATACACTGAATGCAATTGTGAAAAACATGTGTAAGGAAGCAGGATTCGAAGGGAAGTTTTTAAATCACTACGGAAAGAGAACATGCGCCACATCTCTTCACCAAGCCGGTAAGTCTGAAATTAAAGTGTGTCTAAACATAATTGTGAATCACGAAAATATTAGCGTGTGTATATGTTTTTTCATAATCTGTAAAATAGAAAACATGTTCTTTTTCGTATATGAAAATAACTTTCGATGTCCATAAATAACATAAATCCTAAATCATCCATTAACACGATATTTGACGTTAAATTACAGACGCGTTATTTATTTTGTTTATATATTCTCCCATCTATGATTAGGTATTTACTTTTTCCGCAACGCATGTGTATATATATATTTTTTAAATACAATGTAGTGATGAAACAATTATTAATTTTTATGTGATTGTTTTTTAATTTGACTGGAATGTTATACGCATTGACATTAACCTAAACGTTACACGATAAAAATGTCCATTCATTTTCAACTTTCATTAGGTTTTGATGAACAGTTGATTATGGAAAGGACTGGACATCGCAGTACCGCTGTCCGTGCCTACAAGAGACCGTCCGAGGCACAACAGCTGGAAATAAGCCGGGCATTAGAGTGTGGGAAAAGTGCGATCAAGAAGGTCAAGACCGAAACACAGGAAAACAAAAAAAGTGTAACGTAGCGTGAACAATAATAATACCAACACATTAATGGTGCTTGATAGAGAAATACTGTTTTTTACACTTACGGTGTCTAAATCTAATTAAATTTGTTTGCAATGTTTTTCGTGTCTTTGTTGATTTGTCACGCCCACTTTAAAATGGGCACCGCCTCCAGACGATGGCATGGACCAATCAGAAAAGCCATGTGATATTTCAGATATCACATATGTGACATCGGAAATATCACACGGTATGCAATATATCGTCAAGAAAAGATAAGAAAAAACCCGAGGCGTCATTGGTTAAGTACTGTTTACCGCCCCCTGGAATATCCAGTGTTAAATTTTGGGATGTTTTTCAAAATTCTATCGATAATGCTCTTTCGTATAGTAATAATGTAATAATACAGGGAATATTATTGTAGACTTTCTAACTGTATCAAATAGTAGATTACACGAACTCATCATGCTCTTTAATATTGAAAACGTTATTACCGAACCCACTCGAGTTACCGAAAATACCAGTTCATTACTTGATCTTAGGTTAGTAAGTGACAATGTGAAAGTTACCGAGTCCTCCGTGTTACCTGTGTATAACGTAATTAGTGATCACTCCGCCACTGTTGTTGTAATAGAAGTATAACAAAAATCAATCAGCACTTTAAAATGCGAGGTATTGATATATAAAGATACAAAGTTTGGTTTATTTCATAGTCTAATTAGATACTTCTCTTGGAATGAGACATTGGATTCAGCATCTAGTTTTAGATGAAGCCTGTGCAATATTTACGTCGACATTTTAAGTTTAAGTTTAAATTGCTCAATCCAGTATTCCAGTTAAACATTTCACTGTAAGAAAACACCAAAGAAACAAAGTTAATAAGATAAAAAACATGCTTAGGCATCATAATTTTGAAATTATACATGGTTTTATTGACCTAATAGACGCCTCCGACTCGAAAACGTATTGGCGACTCATGCGACGACTGATTGGGAAACAAACTAATATTGATTCGATCCCAGCAGTATACGACACTGACAACAATTTTTAGTGCATGAGTATTTTTGTTCGATATTCATAATATTCTTAAAACATTGAAGTTAAACGAGGCAACTGGAAATGATAATACAAGTCATTATATGTTTAAAAAATACTGCCGAGACATGTTTATGTTTATTTTATTCGCTAGTTCATTAAGAGAATGCAAATTCCCCTCGGCAAGGAAAGTAGCTACAGTTCTACCATTATTTAAGAAAAATGAACGAACTCTTCCATCTAATTACAGACCGATATCACTGTTAAGTTATGTAAGCAAACTGTTTGAGAGAGTCATACACAAATACCTTCATAACTATATGTTAGAGAATAATTCACTTTACAAATATCAATCAGGTTTCGTAAAAGGACATTCAACCGTTTACCCATTATTAGAAATTTATCATAATATTTGTTCTGCTCTGGAAATTAATGATTATGATTTGTTATGAATATGAGTTTCAAAACCAATGAAACCAAAGCAAACTATTAACCAAAGCAAGAATTGTATGGGGACGAATGAAAACAACTAGGACCTGGTGTCAGTGATGGTAAGCGTTTTCTACTTCATTAGCATGTACATCTAGGTAAAATCAACATAAACTGATGACCTAAAACGGGAACTGAGTTAGCGAAAACTAAACAATATTGACCACATTGATAAGAATAATATAACAGTCTTTTCATATCTCACGCTGAAATCGTATACTTCTCGATAATAACATTTTGTTTTGTTATTTAAAGACAGAGCATCGTATATATATATGATAGTGGGAATGAAGAACTTGGCAAGGTCTTTGTTTTATGTTCGGATTAGCTTAGCCTCAAATTAAAACTAAACGAAGTCGGTAAAGCGAGGGGACCCGTTATCCCTAATGAGTATGCTAACAATGTGCTGAAAAAAATGTACCAGCGGAAAACTGAAAGAAATTCCTCATGGCTGAATCTAGCTGTTTGGCGAACACTGTGTTGTATAGCGGATTGGTATACTTTCAATATTTATGCCGACGGATTAGCTGTTTTGCAACTTTCAAATAATGACATTTTTCCCATCTCATGCCCTTCCTCCTACCTTCTATTTTTACATATGCTACAGAACACTAGCTAAGGAATTGAATTATTTCGACCTTTGGTATATATGATAATTTGAAGAAAGTGTTGCTTATGACACATCTGCTAATTCACTCAACGAGCTATTAATGTAAATAGGCGTAATTTGTGATTTTGCGAAGCTGTAAAAAATAAAGGAGTCTGCATAAAACTCACCGCGAGTTTATCGATGAGACTATAGGAATACGACAGTGAGTCTAAACCGTGAAGCTAAGCGAGCACTCGAGCGAACAAAACAGCGTCTTCTAACTTTGAAACACCCGACTCACTGTATACTGTTATACACAATCGTCATATTTAATTTATATTTACGTCACTTTCAAACTTTGGTATTTGGCAATTTCTGAAGGGTTGTCGATACCGTTAAGAATAATTGAACTTCACAATTGAATGTACATATAGAGAAATCAATAAATGAAGAACATAAATGAAAACTATTTTGAACTTCAATACTGTTTAATGAGAATGTGCTGAAGAAAATCTGGAGTAATCAGAATATATTTGTTCATGTTTATTTACATAAGTTTACGTCACTTTCAAACTTTGGTATTTGGCAATTTATGAAGGGTTGTCAATACCGTTAAGAATAATTGAAATTCACAATTAAATGTACATAAAGAGAAATAAATGAATAAAGAATATATATGGAAATTATTTAAAACTTCTAAACTGTTTAATGAGAATGTACTTGAGAGAATCTGGAGCATTTACATTAGTAAGCCGAGTCAACAATGCCTGTTGAACTAGTCTATTTAATGTATTTTTCGGATCTGAATTAATTTTATGCAAGGAATGACAGTACCTTTTATTAAGCGCTGAAGATACTTTCAAAATGACTCAATCCAGGTAAATACAAAAATCGTAGCATAAACTTATAATTTCTGTTAAATAATATTCAAACATACAATTAAAAACCATTGACCAACATCGTCAAACGAAAGTCACACTGATATTTGGTATATTTGCCATACGAATCTGTTTGAAAGATATTTTTATGTCCCTTTTTAAAAGATAACTGATGCGTTTAAGAGTGAATAAAATATAAATGTACTCACCAAATCTGCGATTTAGATAAACTTGTCAGGCAGTTGTGTCAATAGCACCTTCTTCTTAGGACACGTCACTGTGTTAACAATGTTCTAAAGTTATGCAGGTCATCAATCCATATATATACGCTGGATTATTAGCGAAGCAGATCTGTTCCACTTTTAAATTTCTTCTCATATATGACAAGTGGGCGTGACGCTCCATTGTTTATGACTATTCAGTAGGTGTGACATTAAAAGCCTAACTCCTCATTGGATGTCCCAGGAAAAGTATTTATCTTTATTTAAGGAAGTGGACGAAAAGTTTGACAAGCCCATTTCTGATTTTTTTTGTGATGTTTACGTTTTCACAACAAAATTAAATGGTAATATATTAGCCGAGTCAACATATGATAGTGTTACATATATACCATAGAAATGTCATCATGTCACAACACGAATAAACAACTTGCAATCACACTCAATCTGGTCATAATGACAATGGACTAGATGCGCTACAAGGGGATCTCTCCGACAAAAAAAAGATATGAGATAAAATAACAGAAAACATATATTGAATCTATAGTGTTTTAAAAATGGTGAGAGCAGATTAAGTTTGCTCTCATTTGGTTCGCCTAAATCTGATACCAAAATATGGGCTGATTTGGTCTAGGCTCATTAGGCTGGTCAAAGTTTGGTCTGGTCTCATTTGGTCTGGTGTAATTGGTCTGGTCTCAAAGTTTGGTCTGGTCTGATCTGGTCTCGTTGGACTAGTCTCAAAGTTAGGTGTGGTCTTGTCTGGTCTCATTGAACTGGTAGCACGATCAGTTCTCTTAAGTCAGCAACCACAACATGTTTTCAGTATTCTATTTACTAAATACAGCAGTACCATGCAAGCCAATAGCTGAACTAATCTCTTTGCCACAATATGATAGGTCAGGAGCAAAACCGAGATCCTCATGCCGTCAATTCGCTTTCCATTCGATATTCCGTTTATAAAAACTGCTATCGGAATTATAATGAAGGCTTTAAAAACTGCTTATGCAAAAAGGAAGCTGACTTACGGTTTTAATTATTTCAATAACAAAAACAAAAACAAAACACGTTGGATTTACAAAGAAAGATGGTAAAATGTGTCTATCGAAACATATATTTCTCTGTTAAATCACTGTCACGGGAAATAATTCGAAATATACTTTAATGTTTTACTTTAGACGTACTTGAATTACACGTAGAGCAGTCCACGCATCAGAAAGGACATATCTGATTTAATAAGTATGTTTACGCTGAGAGACTTAAATGTGTTGATAGAATCTGTGTTATTCGTGGAAACTTCACATCATCCCAATATAATTGTATGTTTAAAAATATACTTGTAATTGAGTGAGCGTTTCTTAAAAAGTAAGAACTTGCGCATCGCCGACTTTTCATGAAACTAGACTATGAACCCTGTGCATAAATGCACGTTTTGACTTAAGTGAAGTTAGATACATGGCGTCTTTAAACCTTCTGCGGTATGAAACCAATAACATAAGAATCCAGTTCAAAATCCCTCTATTATCAACGACTGCTTAAATATGTGAGATCAATCAACGACGATAACGTTCCAGGGAAATGAGTATTTGACTAAGGCTTCTATTTATTACCTTTAATAATCTAAAAAGCAATTTGTGAAAAAACTGATGAATTCGAAATATGGTGAATGCTTTAGCTTCCTTCCTTCCTTTCAGCCTCATATCATTTCTCTGTTACCAACAAGAAAGGGAAAACTCATGACCAGAAAATAGAAATCGTATCGCCAATCGTACATCTAAACTATGTTGTACAGTAAATATCAAGATAGGTGGTTTATGTAAAGTCACGATTGTAATGCCAAGGTTTTTATGTCTTCAAGATATACAATGTATCTTTTGTACATGGTTAATATATTGAAAAGTGAATTGAAATGTCATGTTAAGGTTTTTGTCACCATTCATTATGCATACTTCAATAAATTCCGATTCATTTGAAAACAAAAAACAAGTCGGCCAAGATAGCAGCACAGTTTCTGTTCCATTGGGATTGCCAAAGGCAGGCTTAGGAAATGACATTGTATCAACCAAACATTTAATCCCCCAGTTTCATTATCAGCATATTTTTACATGCTTTTGCATAATATAATCCAAAAAGTAGTTAACACTAATATTTGTGTTTCCCTGCTTTACTTTAAGATAAATCAGGGGGTTATACAATGACGAATTTCTACTTTAGCTTTAGAAATGCGATTGTAATAAAGTAATGTGTTTGAAAAGTGACTGGAGCCAGATATCGGGACATTAAGATTGACAATGAGTTTGCTATATGTGCTGGAAACAAGCAGAAACGTGATGTGACTTTGATTTGAATCTGCGCGGTTAGGACACTCCTTCATTTATAATACATACGGAAGAGACTTTGACTATGAGACTATTTAATGTTGTAAATTCGATTTCAGTTAAACAATTTGAGTACGAACTTGATGAACATTGGAAAAATCAGCCACAAAAGTATTGTTTCAAAGAAAAAATCAAGCTGTGATCTTAAAAATTATAATTTAGTATACTACGAGCTGACTATCAAAGGATTGTTAATCCTGTACTTATTTCATGTACAGTTGTGGGAACGCACAACGCACCAAAATACCGGGTGCACACCGTGTATACATCGTTCACACACCGTCCTCACATCGTCCACACATTGTGCGCACAACTGTGCGATTTAACAATCGTTCGCCCCGTTGTGCGCTTCTCTCCGCACATCTGAGCGATATGGTACAATTTGTTGATCAATATTACGGAAAGGAAAAAATACTGAATGCTCGAATGCAATAATGTACACTGTATATATCACTGTAATTTCTTATCACTATAATCAGAGACGTATACGTTTCTGCTATATTTAAGAGTATGTACAAGTTTACAATGCGTGTAATACAGTATACAGTGACCGTTAGACAGTCAAGAATGGGTTTGGCTCCTCGGTAACAGAACAGGTAAATAACAATTTGATGAGTGACCGGAGTTTTACCTGGCCTGTACTTGACACATAGAGCTGATATATGATACCGTATGACCGTTATGAAAACTCAACTGGACGTTTAATATTTGTTATTTGCATTCCTTTTGGTCTGTAGCTCCCCTTCACCTGTTTTTCACACCTTGGCGAGTTACGTCAGTGCCCCGGGCGGGGTAAACTACGGTCCAGGTACAAATTGGCAATGTTTACCTGTGTAGCCGAGACTGTGTTGCAAATTTACTCGTGTCGATTAAGGTGGTTTAAAAAGCCCACAAAACACCATTTCTAAATTTAAGAAAGTAAAGACAGAAAGATAAGCCTAAAGATGTAGCTAGAGTATAGAAACATACTAAACAATCTAATTTTAAGTTCAAACACGAAACCGTATATATTGTCAAGCCATTCCTTAATTTACACCAACCACGATTGTTATCGCCCAACGTTCGTCGATCGTCCGCACAAATGTGCGCAATGAATGATCGTCCAATTTTTTATCGTTCGCACTTCGTGCACACATCGTTCACACACCGTGCACTATGGCAAGCCAAGTTGTCATTTATGCATGGAGCAATGTTGATCCAGTACTTAACCAAATTATATAAGATATCTTATTTAATTATATAAGATATCTTATATACTTTATGAGATATCTTATATACTTTATAAGATATCTTATATAATAAATGAGATATCTTATATATTTTATAAGATATCTTATATACCTTTCTTTATAAGATATCTCATAAAAGATATAAGATATCTTATATATTATATAAGATATCTCATAAAAGATATAAGATATCTTATAAAGAAAATTAAATGAGATATCTTATATCTTTTAGAAGATATCTTATATAATATATAAGATATCTTATAAACAAAATTAAATGAGATATCTTATATAATTCGGTTATAAGATATCTTATAAAGAACGAGATTTGAATTTGAGATAATAAACCCTCCTCCACAGCGCTCGGTAAAGCATTAAATCGAAAGCCTTAGTTTCGTACGTATCTCTTAACCGGAAATGAAGTATGTGAAAGTGAAAGTAGGAGTTTAATGCCACCAAATAGGTCTGGTTATAGCGGTATTAACATTATTTTAAAAGGTTAAGCTTTATAAAGTAGATGGGGGGTAAGTGGTGGAGAAATGGATGTTCCTATGTATTTCATAACTGAAGGAAAACGATCCTACTGCATGTATTACTTACAATTTATTCATTAAAATGTTTTATCTTGATTTTCTTCACGGATTTCCTCTAAATGTTTTTAAAGAAATTTGATAAAATTGTAATATTACCCGTACAAATTCACAGACAGGTAATTGACATTAAACATATTAGGAACATTTATTAATTGTTTCGGCTGCTTATCACAGACCGCATTAAAGCCATTTTGGTCTCTGTGGAGTATAACATATAGATAGACATGGGGACATTTTTTTTTATTTACTGTTTCAGACTGGTCATACACCTGTATTTATTATCACAGACAGGCTATGTATCTTTAATTATATTGTTTCAGATAAAATTGTTTTAACTATCACAGACATTAAAGAACATACTTATGTATTTGTAATTCTATGTTCTATCAATATACTGTAATGTAAGGAACATTAATTCATTGTTTCAAACTGGTTATAAACTTGTATTTACTTATACTATTACAGACAAGAAGTAATATTTCATTATTTGATACATATGTATACAGATAAGTGATATTTCATCATCAGGTGCATGTTCTTTAAAGTCTTTGAGATATTGATCACTTATAAGATATATTTTGTAGAGATACAATTGTATTTTGTGACCTAAAAGGCATTTCACACAAGCCAGATACATGGTAACACTTACAGCATGTCTGTAGTAGTAATTACATGTGTAATACCTGTCTGTGATAGTATATACATGTGTAATACCTGTCTGTGATAATATATGCATGTGTAATAACTGTCTATAGTAGTAATTACATGTGTATTACCTGTCTGTGATAGTATATACATGTGTAATACCTGTCTGTGATAGTAAATGCATGTGTATGATCTGTCTGTGGTAGTAAATACATGT